ATCCCCCCTCCCAATCTTTATTTATCCCTCCCTCCCAATCTTTATTTATCCCTCCCTCCCAATCTTTATTTATCCCTCCCTCCCAATCTTTATTTATTCCCCTTCCCAATTTATCATCCCCCTTCTTCCCCCCTACCTCTGTTGTAGCGTGGCCGACCTCTGTATGGTACGCGGGTACAGGGAGCTTTTGTTAAAAGGAAGTGAACACTCAGTGTGTACTTCCTGTTAGTCCGGCCGGGTACAGGAGACAGATGCTCCCTGTACCCGCGGACCATGATACAGAGCTCGGCCACGCTACAGTGAGGGAGTAACAGGAGGGTGTAACAGGAGGGAGCCCCTATCCTCATGCTGCGCCCGGGCAGGCAAAGCTGCAGCCGCCTGTGGCTCTCTACAGAGTGCTCGGGTGGCTGCAGCATGAGCCCCCTCCGCCGCCCCCTTAGTACGCCACTGCGCTAACTCAATGTCAAATATGTCAGGTATCAGCATTAACTCTCATACATGCTGTCATACTGCACAAACACATCCACATTAAAGGAACACACCAGCATAATAACAACTACAGAGAGTAGTAGTGGTTATGGTGCCAAAAGTGCCTCGACAACCCTCCTGTTGCGGAGCGCTAGTCTTAGCAGGGACTTTTCTCCGCTGGTTTCTACAAAATGAACTCAGGAACAAAGAAGGTGTTTCACAGGAATCACTAAATACAGCAAGGCAAGACAAGATTCTCCCAACATCTCCCCAGTAACTGGACGACACTCAGTTTTGGGGGAATAACTGAAGTTTAATGGTGGCACACTGCCTTTTATGTGATTTTTCCCCACATGGTTGACACCCTTGTGGGGCACCGAGACACAAAATTAACAAGCCAATGAAACAGGGTTATACACAGAGACACTCCCATACAGTATGTACAAGAAATTGAGGTAGATAATGTAATAACTCAATTATCTCCAGGCAGGAAAACCACATATTTCACAAGATTCCAGAAGTACTCCAAAACATGACATATCCCCATAAATGGCACATCCCTGGATAGCTCTGATCTGGGTGAACAACATATCCAATAATCACCCAGATCAGAGCCGGGGTTCACAAATTCCTTGGAAGTCACTTTTGACCAACCGCACGCATGATTTCATGCCCAAAATATTTCCAGAGAATTAGGCTGTGCGGCCGGTCTATCTTCTCAGTCAAATAATGTGTAAATTGCCGAACGGATCTGTCCGTGCATAGCTTTATTGGAGGTTTCTGGTTCGGTAGATTGTTTCTACTGAATAGCGCTTCATTTGTGCACTTCTAGGTGAACTTAGGTGGAGGTGGAAGTCACAGCGGTGTTCGCACACTCGAGTGTCCGATTTTAGTTCCATGCATTCGATGACCTTTGTTCGTGTACCATGATGGCCGCAGCCACGTATTCGTCTATATGAACGGCGACCACCCTGCTGACCGCGTAGAACGTTCGTGTGATTGTGGTTTATGGAGGCGTGAAATTAGTTAATGAGCGGCACACTCCATAGCTGGGTGGTCTACCATTCGGTAGTTTGTTCGGTTGATGAATAATACTGTGGGAACCACTTAAGGAAATGGATTTTGACGAACGGCCAGGTGAAACAGGGGAAATCTTAGGTTGCAGAGCCAGGGGAGTATGTCTTGCACAATTATTGTTACTTTCACACATAGGGGATCAAGAAGAGGGGGGGAAAGGGGGTACGGACAGCCCAGAGTTGGTATAAAATATGATAGCAGGGTCCATTCTACTACACCCCTATTGTAACTATTCAAACCATTTTATCTGGGTTCCATTAAGTGACACACCCCACCTTCACTACCTCAGCCAAAGAACCGGAAGCACCTGTTCACTTAGTTCTTAGCTCTCCTGAGCCAAACCATGCAGGGCTATCTCATTGGCTGAGCATGTCAGCTGATCACTTTCAGCCAATAAACTAAGCTCTGCATGGTTTAAACACAATATTACAATACATTAAGATGAATCCCAAGTGTGGGTCACTGGCTCTTACCTGGGTCACACTGGGCCCTGAGCCTCTGCAAAAGCCGATCCCTCCAATCATCCATTGGCTGAAAACATCACCTCATTTAGGGCTGGCTGATGTTGCTGCAAGAAGGGGAGCTATACACATATGGGATCATTGCATCATAACCACCTAAAAGCACCCAAGATGGACATGGTCCATGGAGTAACCCTTTAATTTATAAAGTGCCTCTTCAAAAGTTTCTCTTCAAATTGTCTCTTCTGTGAACTGGGACAAGGCTAATCCCTGAAGCAGTTTACTAAATCATAGTGCTGTAGGGGTGTGTAGAGTCCTGTTAAGCAGATAATACACTGTGTTTATATATTTAAAGTCTTGACTTTCATCAAGATACTTGTAGTATCTCCATAGCGCGTCTTCACATGATAAAGCAGGCTATAACCCTATGAGAACCAGCAGGATAAACAAACTCTATGACAAAGCGTGAACTTATGGATCAAACTCTGGGAATTGAAAGAAGAAAAATATTTGGACTCAGTGCTGAGAAAATCAGGCTGTTCATAGTTTATTCTAAAACCATTTCACTTTATTGAGAACAGTTACAAAGGTATAACATGACAGCCACAAATTCAAAAGCATGTCATCGATTACACGCGGGGGACACAATTCTCACCTCCAAAAATAAAAAATAAAACATACTGTAACTGAGTAACTGACTGATTAAGAAACACACAATAGCTCTCAGGTAAAGATGCAATCCACATGTACATTTTAAAAAGAGACAAGCGAGATATGGATACAATATATCTGCAGCCATAGAAAGCCATCTGGGTATTGGGACACAGCTCATAGAGGGAATCTGTGGAGCACTAGGACCATGCAGAGCCTGCAGTCTGTGTGCTGGATCAGGATCCTGTATGAGCTCTGCAGCATCTCCTGGCATCATCTGTGCAAATCAGCAGCGAATACCAGGTGCTTCACAGGCCCCCTGTACAAAGCATGGCTTAATGTAACTGCAACCTCTTCATCAGCACCAGGAGCCATGGTGAGGCCATCAATAAACAGACGGTGATAAAGGAGAGGATAGCAGTCAGTATGGCCCAGAGCAAGCGGCACACATACAGCCGGGTAAGCACTGTGCATGCTGTCTGCCTGGTGACAGGTATATGCAGCAGAATGATGCTCAGGGGTTACATCAGTGGCAGGTGCCACACATCCACATTCTGCATGTGACGAGGAAGGATGGTCAAAAGGTAGATTCCTATATTGTAGAACTACAACTCCCATGATGCTTTGACAATTGTTTGGATAGCAATGCATTGTGGGAATGATAGCTGTACACCAGATGTGGATCTGCATTTTGGGGCCCCTGGTATGGTAGAATGAATGTGATATTAGCCCATTACATACCACCTTCTGTGAATGATGCTCTGCATGTATTGTATATCTCTCTCGTTATTCTGGTCTGTCTAGGTTTCCAGGTAGAATGCCAGATTAAAAGGTTTATATCGATTTTGATTACTATTACTGTTATTATTATTATTAGTGTTTATAAAGCGCCAACAAATTCCGCAGCGCTGTATATGTATCTAATAGTTTGGCATTAAATTGAATAACCTTTTCAGGGAATCACTGGCAGACAAGAGGTTAATTGTTTTGTCGATCTTTCCTTGACTCTAGCATTGCAAAGGGTTAATTCAAATGGCTCTGTTATATGTATGTGAAATACTTGCACTAACTCCCTGCGTGCCACAGAGGTGTGTACATAATAGATTGACAGTCCTCTGGTACACAAAGGGTTAAATAAATCATTTGGTCAGCATGGGTATGTGACTGTGGGTAGTCCCAGGTTTCAGATAGAGGCAGCATTGCAGCATTGCTAGTGATGGACTCGTGTTAGCCTTAGTTCTCTCCATGGCATTTAAGAGGTTAATTGCAGTAGGTCTGCTGCAGGCATGTGGATGCATTGTGAACAGTGCTAAGTGGAATGATTTTCATCCACACAGCCTTGATCAGGAAGGGACGGGGTTAAACACTGAAAGCCAGCTGCATTTTGGGTAAGGTCACCAGACTGACGCTTCGTGACACAAAGCTTGTGACAAATATTATTTGCAATAACCGTAACTCTTTCTAACCCACCCGCTGATGGCATTTTATTGTCATACCCATACTTAAGCTATCACTGGCTGAGGGGGGCGAGACTTGCATACCAAAAACGAAAAACATATATATTAATATTTATACACACACACACACACTTTCCATGTTTTTTAAATTAATTTATTTTTTACGGTAGTTTTTTATTCAGTAAAATGAATAATTAATTCATCATTGTGATTAAACAGATATAATCAACTTTTCACACTGTCTCCACCCTTCTTTTTTTAGAGAATAATGCTAAAGTTATTACAATATGTATTTCTTATTGTGTGCATTTTTGTTTCTTTGTTTGTTTTAGTCTCTGTAATGTTTTCATTTTTGATACAGTGTGGTTAACCTCCCCGTGGTTCTTGAATGGATGGAATCAATCTATTTAGGGTCTAAGGTGTATATGATCATTGAACATTTACTGAGCACAGGACAGCTCCCTGCATGACATGGCCAAACACTGTATCTATTAGAATGGGTGAATTTAAGTTAACCACACAAGGGATGAATAAAAGTTATCTTTTAACAGAAGCAAGGTGCAATGGAATTACCGGGGACCATACCATCTTCTCTCAGTTTGATAGTCAGAGTTGTAGTCAGGCTGTAGCTAAATCTGCTTTAGATACAGACAGGAGATGATCATGTGTCTTTGTCATGGCTGGCTGCAGGTGATGAGAGCAGCTGAAGTATGGCAGGTTTTCAGTTCGGAGTACACCGAAGACAATGACATTCAATATTATGGTTGGCTGAGAGCAAATGTGTCAGGGACCCTTCTGTGGTGGCCAGGGATGTCCCCCATGGTATTCACCTCTTACATGAGGAAGTAGGTCCTCTCCAGCATCCCTCTTCTTTCTCCAGCGGTTTTCACGCAGGGCAAGGGTGCGTCGACGTCATGACGCTAATGATGTCACATCTCGCCGAAACGTTCGGATTTGAATGTTTTGGGGGCATGGCTACCATCCTAACGAGCCACATTGCCCCGTTGTGGTTCATGTTTGTCCCCTATAGTGCTTTATCTGTATTTTTTATTCTAGCTTTTTACTTCGGCTCTGTTTTTGAATACTCTTCATTCTATACTTCTTTGACCCGGCTTTAGCATTCTCGTTTATCCTGATCTCTGTACTCCTTGACCTGGGCTTGAATTTGACTACTCCTTGTTCTTATATGTTAGCCCGGCCATTCTAAGGTCCAGTATATGTTACCTTTTGTCTACATTCTGCGTGTTGGATCCAATTCTATTACTGACAAGATGTTCTTTTCAGTCCTAGTTGAACTCAGGTGCTGAATGGGAAATAAAGAAAGTGCTATTTATTAAATATCTTTTATCTCTTGTACATATCTAGGATGCAGGCACTGAATTAGTTAAATGTGAGACAGTTTCTCATTTAACCTTCCTCTGGCATCACTATTTCTGACATAATTATTTCTGACATTACTTCCTTGATTGCACTACTTTTGATACCATTTCCTGTGACATTACTACTTCTGACATCCCTACCTCTGACATCAGTACTTCTGACATCACTTCCTCTGATAGCACTACTTCTAAAATCCCTTTCTCTGACATCACTACTTCTGACACCAATTCATTTGACAGCACTACTTTTGACATTACTTCCTCTGACAGCACTACTGACATCACGTCCTGTGACCTCAGTCTGTTATACATTACTAATGCTATTTTAGACATCAGAATTGCACCCATGTTATACATTCCTATTACATACCTTTTTCAAATTTCGATTATATACCAGTAAAGCATTACTATAACACTCCTGTTATTTATATTTAGTTAATATTATTACATAGCTGTAATTTATATTCATTACTAACAACATAATCTACTTGGTTTACATTATTATTCCAATACCAATTTCATTGACTTTGCGAATTGTGAGGAATTTAAAATAAATTCAAAGAAAACTGGAAAAAATACATCGATAAATGTGCCAATTTCCATCCTCCATCCAAATGTCTTGCTTGTTACTCATTTTATGCAGAGCTGACTCACATTCACTGACAGAGAGTCAACAAGAGACGCTCTGATATATATAGTGTGCTGAGATGCATTGTGGGAATAGTATGGGTAAATAATAAAGTTCAATGTTTCTGGACACATAATAAACCATTGAACTGAGGGTTGATATCATGGAGGACATTATTTTCCTATAATAAATGCTTGGCATGTAAATATTGCTCTGTATGTTTGGGTTAAGGGAGTTACTAATGGCAGTTACAGTGCCAGGCAGCTGCCATCATTTAAATAGTGATAGATACTGCTATTTGTTTGAATGAAGGGGTAGACTGTCACTACGTATGAATGAAAGGATGTATGTGTAGAACGTTACTGTGTGTGCATGAAAATGTGTATGTATAGAATGTCACTAGGTATGAATGAAGGGGTGTATGTGTAGACTGTCACTACGTATGAATGAAGGGGTGTATGTGTAGACTGTCACTACGTATGAATGAAGGGGTGTATGTGTAGAATGTTACTGTGTGTGCATGAAAATGTGTATGTTTAGAATGTCACTAGTTATGAATGAAGGGGTGTATGTGTAGACTGTCACTACGTATGATTGAAGGGGTGTATGTGTAGAATGTTACTGTGTGTGCATGAAAATGTGTATGTTTAGAATGTCACTAGGTATGAATGAAGGGGTGTATGTGTAGACTGTCACTACGTATGAATGAAGGGGTGTATGTGTAGAATGTTACTGTGTGTGCATGAAAATGTGTATGTTTAGAATGTCACTATGTATGAATGAAGGGGTGTATGTGTAGAATGTCACTATGTATGAATGAAGGGGTGTATGTGTAGAATGTCACTATGTATGAATGAAGGGGTGTATGTGTAGACTGTCACTACGTATGAATGAAGGGGTGTATGTGTAGAATGTTACTGTGTGTGCATGAAAATGTGTATGTTTAGAATGTCACTATGTATGAATGAAGGGGTGTATGTGTAGACTGTCACTACGTATGAATGAAGGGGTGTATGTGTAGAATGTTACTGTGTGTGCATGAAAATGTGTATGTTTAGAATGTCACTATGTATGAATAAAGGGGTGTATGTGTAGACTGTCACTACGTATGAATGAAGGGGTGTATGTGTAGAATGTTACTGTGTGCATGAAAATGTGTATGTTTAGAATGTCACTATGTATGAATGAAGGGGTGTATGTGTAGAATGTCACTATGTATGAATGAAGGGGTGTATGTGTAGAATGTCACTATGTATGAATGAAGGGGTGTATGTGTAGAATGTTAGTATGTATGAATGAAGGGGTGTATGTGTAGACTGTCACTACATATGAATGAAGGGGTGGATGTGTAGAATGTCACTGTGTGTGAATGAAAATGTGTATGTTTAGAATGTCACTATGTATGAATGAAGGGGTGTATGTGTAGACTGTCACTACGTATGAATGAAGGGGTGTATGTGTAGAATGTCACTTTGTTTGCATGGAGGGGTGGATGTGTAGAATGTCACTGTGTGTGAATGAAGAGGTGTTTGCATAGAATGTCACTGTGTGTGAATAAAGGAATGTATGTTTAGTCATTGAGTGTGAATCATGTCTTTGTAATGTTTGGGGTGGGGGCACATGTAAATGCAGGGAGAGGTTGGGTCATACATTTATGTGGAGGTGGGCAAACAGTAGATCCCCAAATGTTGTACAACTGTAGCTTCCATTATGCTTTTAATAGGCTGGAAAACTAATATGGCAGCTGAAGTTCTACAGCATCTGGGGATCTTTACTTTGCTCAGTTTTCTATTAAGATATAGCCTTACATGCGAGTCGCAGTAGCAACACAATACAGATGATTGATTTTAGCCAGGCAGCTGTATTTTCAAGGTGGACATTATTACCACATTCAGTTATTATAATGTTTCATTCAACTGTTATCTTAGGAATGTTTAAAAATATATATATGCTTTATTACAAATACATGAATATCTGATAATCTTTCTTTACATGGCTTTTCACTGCCAGCTTTGAAATCAAAATCTTTAGTTTTGCTAAAAAAAAACAACAAAGTTTTGCAGCTTTTTGCGGTGTCACTCCACCCGTTAGACACATCCATTCTTTTAACAAACTCTTATTAGACATACTCTGAGTATGTACAAGCCAATAGGAGACCAGTATACGTATAAACTGGGCTGATGACAT